TCATCAGAAAGAAATGTCCCAACAACATCATTAATGTAACATCATTAACAACATCATTGATGCACCTGAGAAAGGAGATTAAAAGTAAGATTTAAGCACATGGAACAGGTTATAAATCTCACTGATTCTATCAGAAAAGTAGCTTCTCCTCTACAACATAGAAATCAGCTCAGTAAGTTTCACATCATAAGCTATTTCAACTGCTTCCACATGGTTTCCATGTATTATCTCTGTTTTCTGTGGGAGCTGAATTGATGTACTGCACTCTGACTGATACCATGAAGCAACTTCAAGGTATTTCAGGGCAAGATGAAAGTACCTGCTCCCTGTAACTACACTTTCACCACACACCTTCAGACTTTATCAAAACACAGGCTTGGAAACATTCTCCTCCTCTTTATCTTGTTTTGTGCAGTGGATACAAAAATGCAGGCAGCCCAATGACTCTGTAAGAAATAACTTTCTTAGGAGATGTATTACAACTAGGTAAAAACATTGACATTACCCACATAAAGGGAAAGAAATTCCAATAACCTACCAAAACAAAACCAAGAATGAAACATTATAAACGCGTTTAAAAGCTTAAGCTATTTGGGGGTATGTCCACCCACTTTTATTTTTCCTTTTAAACTGAGGATCCAATCCAAGCTGCCTGAGAGTTACAGTAGCCAAATAATTTAGATGACAGCTTCTTGCTAAGTACTGTTTAAAAAAAAAACCTAGATGGTGATTTGCAAATTAGAGAAGATGTACAGCTTTAGAGTTAGGTGCTAAGCTTTCTAACAGGAAAACCATGATAAGAACAGATTTTGTTGAACTGATTGGACTCAGTAATTTATTCTTTTTCTGTTTCGTAGTTTCCTTACCAGAAACGTTAAGGCTATTTTTTTACCTTCCATCCCCATCCCACCACCCACTCTCTTGGAGTGGGCAGAGAGCAATTCCCTAATTGGAAAATACAAATGTTACTGCGTATGCTTGGTGGCAAGCAGCTTATAAAAAGATCTACCTAAGTACAGATAAGAAGTATGTATGATAGAAATGGGTTTGACTAGATGAATCATTCATATATGTGTGTGCTTTAACAAAATATACAGCTTTAAGAGCATACTAAAAGCTTAAAGTGAGACCCTAGAAACGTGTTTAAATTCAGAGAAGCTAATTAATACTCTTACCCTTATTTCCATGTAAGGTGGATCATTTTCAAGCTCTGCCTTATCTTGTGCCAACTTGGCCTTCTGATCTTCAATAAACTTTTCTAAATCTTCTGCCATCATTTCTAAGTTGTAGGAAAAACACATTTGTGTCAGAATACAGAAAAACAAACAAACAGAAAGCCAGAAAAGACACACAGGAGCTGGACAGCATACTGTTACTTTTTGTATCAATAAAATAACAGGAGCAAGAAGAATAGCTACCACCTTGCAATAACGGTACTGCCATGGATACCAGGCAGCACTGCCTTTAATCAGACACGCAGGAACAGTTGATTGCCTCCTCTGTTAGCTGATTGCCTCTTCTGTGCATCTCACCTATGGAGCTGAAAGCTCTTCAGGGTTGAAATGTTAGCATCATTGTAGTGCAACTTATTGTGCACTGCTGCTGCTAGACAATTTCATAACAAAAATTAAAAGTGAATTAAATCAGTGATGGTGGAATGGTACAGAAGTCAGGGCACATCCTCAGGTTTCACACAGCTGGTTTGGGTAGTTTATCAGAACTAGAAATGCTGAAAAGCTGCACACTGCATAGCCATGGGGGAAGAAAAAGAAGGAAAAGAGTCACTGCATTCAAGCCCACTCATCCTAATCTCAGCATTTCCACCAACTCCACTGAAGAAAGTCATGTGAAACCATGCCAATGGATAAAAAAAATCCTGTGTTATATTCTACTCTTAGAGGAAGAATGAAGTGAGGAGGAAATCAAGATCCTTAAGCCACTCAAATGCTAACCCCATAACTTCAGCAACGCAATTGCTTGTGAAGGCTTTCATCAATCCCATCCTATCCAGGTTCTAAAGCACAGACTGTACAGCAGTTTAAATAAGGCTAATTCACTATCTTGCTAAAAATTATATTAAGTAAACAGTAAGTCCAGAGTAAGAAGATATTAAACAATTTCAGGAAGAACATCACAGAAATTTAAAAATAAAAATAGAACAACCAGGAATAACACACACATACACACACACAAAGCCCAGGAAAATAAGACATTAAGCAGGAAAACATAATACAGTGCTCAGGGAGAATGTGATTAATGCTTACTATGAAAATCAAGATCAAGATAAGTGATGTCAAAATTGGAGCAGGTAAATAAGTTAACGTGCAGTTACTTCAACTTCAGGAATACAAGGAATGCATCTACTTGAACCGTCATGTCTTACATGAGCGCTCCCTTGGATTGAAAATCTGAACTCTGATATTGTTACAAAGGAGGCAGAACTAGGACATCCCATTTGCAAGCCCTAGTGGTAACACGGGACAATCACTTCCAAAAATAAATTCCCCATCTGATTTATGCTAAAACTTTAATCTCATTACTTTTGCACAGTGATAACAGATCAAAGGTGTCTATAAGACAGTAAGATTTGAGGCACTGATGAGCTTCATTGAGCCTATTAGGTTACATAAGAATAACGAAAAGCCTGTTCTGAGTGGATAAAATAACTTGTCATAGAACCATAGAATTGCTCAGGTTGGAAAAGACCTTAAAGATAATCAAGACCAACCTCAACCTAACCAAACTACCCTAACTCTAACAGCCCTCCACTAAATCACGTCCCTGAGCACCACATCCAAAAGGCTTTTAAACACATCCAGGGATGGTGACTCAACCACCTCCCCGGGAGTCTATTCCAGTGCTTAACCACCCTTTCTATAAAGAAGATTTTCCTGACATCCAACCTAAACTTACCCTGGTGTCACTTGGGGCCATTTCCCCTTGTCCTGTCACCTCTGAGAAGAGACCAACAACTCAAATCTAGTAATATATAGTAAATAGTAATTAACTTATTAGCATCAGCTACAAAGTGCATCATCCACAGGAGGAAAAATTCCCACATGAAGGAGTGTAAGCTTTATGAGACAAGAGAAAACGACAGATTAAACAGCTGCAAAGATTTACTCGTCACCACAGAACACCTCAATCCTAAATAAAAGAGTATGCTGTTGGTTTAGCAATGTGTCAGAATGAATGATGTGAATTACCAGATCCTTGCAATCATTCCTAGTGATTGCAGCAGGTTCAAAACCAGGCTTGAAGACATTGCTCAGTGGGTACCCTGTGCAGAGCAGGAGAGGACCATGTGGTAAACACTGAAAAATCTAACAATAAGCCACAGGTCTCCAGAATTACATGGTACAAGTGACAGATGTGTCAAGGTATTCAATATAAAGTATTTTGTAAATGCTATTAAAAGCATATATATTTTTAACAGCAAAGATCTGCTGATTCTTCCTTCAGCCCTATCTTAAAACTTGTATTTGCATGCCCAAGGCACAGTATCATGCAAATGAAAATTAAATTAAACTTACTATTTGTTCAGCTGTTGCTGGGAAAAGTCCTAATACATATATATATTATATATTTTTAATTTTCAAGACTGTTTAGCTTGGTTTTTTTTTCTATAACCTATCATTTTTAAAATGGAATTTTTCATAAAAGCAACTCTGAATAAACAAAAAGCCAGACAGACATCACCTTAGTAACACAGCAAGCAATGGAAAGCATAGATACATTCAAGACAAAAAAACATGTCCTAATGCCAGAGACAGACATTGGATCTACACCCAAACGCAATTAATAATGCATGTCTCCGTCCTCGAGACATTCAAGCCGCCTGTTTGTATATGCAGCACCATATTGGCATGTGCACTGTGCATCTCTTTCATTACTTAGGAAAACATGCACTGTGTTCCTTTTTACCACGGAACCATAGAATTGCTCAGGTTGGAAAAGACCTCAAAATTCATCAAGTCCAACCACAACCCTTCCCCTTGTATTTCTTCAAGACAGCGAGGCAAGGATCTAAAATCAGCACATGTGATCAGACAGATTGCGTGCTGTGCTATCATAATTCTAAATATCCAGAAAACCTGACAGATGGCCATTCTCCTCCACAGAAACTGCAGCAAGGGTGGCAGGGGAGTGAAGTGCTCCAAGAAGCTCCCGCGTGTGACGTTCAGCAACTGCACTTACAGGCACACTCACAGTTACCAGACTCTAACTAAAAGAAAAAACAACAAACATGACTTTTCCTAACTGTGAAGGCAACCATCCATCGAAACAACAAGCCAATGAGTTCTGTGAGTCATTTCCCCTCACTTTAAGACCTCACCTACATTTGCAGACCACGTCCCACGGCCCCAGAACAAATGAACTGGAGGAAGCCCTGAGGGACGGCTGACATTTGTTGCTCCAACAGCGCAGCCCTTCCCGACGTGGGCGGCCCCGGCACCCCCGCGCCTCCTCACGCCGCACCCGGAGCGGGGCGGGGCTGCGCGCCCGGCCCCTCACGGCAGCGCTACTCCGTTGTCAGGCAACGGCCGTACAACAAGCGGCTCCCACCGGAACGCCCCGCCGCCCCCACATGGAACACGGAAGCCCGCTCCGGCCCCGCGCCCCCGTTCCCTGTTCCCCGCGCCCCCATTCCCTGTTCCCCGCTCCCCGCACGGGCCCGTCCCGTTACCCGGCCGCTCGCCCCGCGGAGGACGGCGAGGTCGCCCGCTCCGTTCACAACCCGGGGCGGACGCTCGGCCTCCGCTCTGCGGAGTTGGGAATGGGGCAAAACGGGGCGAAACATCACCGAGCACCGTCCCGACCGCTCCGCCGCTCACCGGCGCTCGCAGCCCCGTCCGCCTCCCGCGCCAGTTGCCACCTCCCCGGAAGCCGGCTGGCGGCTTTCTGTCGCCCCGGAGGGCTTTCTCGTTAGCGCCCCCTGCCGCTGCGGAGGACCCGGCCCGAGGCCTGCGCGGATCGTACCGCCACCTCCCCGCTCCGCCCAGTGAGTCGCGGCCTGGCTCGGGCCGGTGCGACTGCAGGGGCGCGTTGAAGCGGGCCGGGCCGGGCGCGGGGCGCGATGGCGGCGGCGAGCGGCTCGTCAGGGAGCGGGATGGCGCAGAAGACGTGGGAGTTGGCCAACAACATGCAGGAGGCGCAAAGCATCGACGAGATCTACAAGTACGACCGCAAGCAGCAGCAGGAGATCCTGGCGGCCAAGCCCTGGACCAAGGAGTGAGAGCGGGGCCGTGGGGCGGGCGGGCGGGCGGGCGCGCGGCGGGGCCAGGGGGTGAAGCGAGGCGAGGCCCTGAGCGCTTCCGCGGCCTCTGTCCCGCTGCAGCCACCATTACTTCAAGTACTGCAAGATCTCGGCGCTGGCCCTGCTGAAGATGGTGATGCACGCCCGCTCTGGGGGCAACCTGGAGGTGATGGGGCTGATGCTGGGCAAGGTGGACGGAGAGACCATGATCATCATGGACAGCTTCGCTCTGCCGGTGGAGGGCACCGAGACCCGCGTAAACGCGCAGGCGGCCGCCTACGAGTACATGGCCGCCTACATCGAGAACGCCAAGCAGGTACGCAGGGGGGGGGTATGGCGTGACTCTTACCTTCTTGCCTTCTGAAGTCTGAAAGCGCGGTAAACTTCTCACTTACCGAAAGGTAGCAGAAATGTAACTGGTGAGTTGGGCAGAGAAGAAACTGATGAGCTTCAGTGAGGGCAAGTGTAGGGGCCTGCACCTGGGGAGGAATAACCACACACATCAGTACAGGTGAGGGGCTGACCTACTGGAGAGGAGCAGGTTCTGGAGAGGAGGGGCTGACCTGCTGGAGAGAGATCTAGGTGTCCTGGTGGACAGCAGGTTGGCCATGAGCCAGCAGCGTGCCCTTGTGGCCAAGAAGAAGGCCAATGGGATCCTGGTGCATTAAAAAGAACACAACCACTAGGTCGAGAAGGGTGATCCTCCCTCTCTGCCCCAGCGAGACCACATCTGGAGTATTCTGTCCGTTTCTGGGCTCTCCAGTTCAAGAAAGACAGGGAGCTTCTAGAGAGAGTCCTGCAGAGCACCACAAAGATATGAGGGTCCTGCAGCATCTCCTGCATGAGGAAAGGCTGAGAGAACTGGGACTGTTCAGCCTGGAGAAGGCTGAGGGATCTCATTACTGTTTGTAAATATCTAAAGTGTAGGAGTCAAGTGGATGCAGCCAGGCTCTTTTCAGAGGTATGCGGTAACAGAACAAGAAACAACAACAAAAAATCTGCAGCACAGGAAGTTCCATACAAACATAAGGAAGGACTTTATCATAAGAGTGATGGTGCCCTGGAACAAGCTGCACAGAGGGGCTGTGGAATATCCTCTGAAGATATTCAGAACCTGCCTAGAGATGTTTTCCTGTGTGAGCCACCATAGGAAACCTGCTTTTGGCACAGGGATTGGGCTAGGTGGTTATCCCCAGAAGTCCCTTCCAATCCATACAACTATGTGATTCTGTGAGATATTAATCTGCGCTGTGGCTGATGGAGAAGCCAGCATGGCATATGAGCACTTTCTGGCCTGCTGCTGCCAACACACAGCACTCTGACACTGCAAATAAGCACTGAAATCCCTCAAACTGTCCAAGCTTAAATAGTTTGAGGCCCAGATCAAAAATCAAACCTTTGATTTGCTGTTAATCCTTGAAGTATTTTAAATCAGCTGAAATTGTAGGGTCCTTACATAGTGCAGGTAAAGATACAGCTATTTGGGTTATTTTGGAGAGGCGTGCGTATAGTCACAGCTTTCCGTGGGTTTAATGAGGTTTAAATAAATTAGGCTGGATCATGACTTCAAAAGAGAGTAAATACAGACCAAAGGTAAATATGTTGTGAGGCCTGTGGTGGGTTTTTTTGAGGCTTTTTAAAAAATAATTTATCACACTTCTTTATGAGAAAATTCTAAAGTAGTTATTTAATGTAGTTAATTGTATCTGGATACTATTAAAGTAATGATTTTAATACTATTGTTGCTGAAAGGTGTAGAAAATGAAAGGGTGTTTTTGTCTGGAGATATGTTTATAGATAGAAAAGATGTCTGAAGTATAGAGCATAGCATTGGTATTTACATACACAGTTTAGTTCATTCGACTTTTAAAACAGCCCAGGTTTATATGGGAGTATTCATCACATGAAAATCAAGCAAAAATAATAACTCAGCTTTGCTGTTGCTCTGGCAGAGTGCATGCTGGCTGCTTTACATCTGAGGTTGGCAAGCACTTTGTCCTGGAATACCTCTTTTTAATATTAGATTACATGTTGATAATATCCCTCCGCGTAAGTGCTTTACAGAAGCTCATGTTGCAGTTACTCGCTCCTCCACAGGCAGGATCTGATGTTAAAATGATTAAAAGAATAAAGTCATTTGTTTCACCGATTCAAAAATAAAGTAAATCTTCCGTTCAGTAGATACTGTGTTCTGTCTCTTAATAGTTTCCAGATTTAACCTTCCTGGCACGCTCAGTATTTGGCAAAACCAAGCAGCTAAATGCATTGAACACACTGCCAGGTAGGCTGTACTGAAATAGTTTCACTCAATATTGAGCAGCCAGTACACAATTCATGACCAGTTACAAAAAACTAGGTGCAGTGAGTGTTTATTCTCCTTGATGAACCACGATTTTTGATTTTGTTTGGGGTACTTGTAGAGATAGCTCAGAGTATTATTTGGAAACTTCTGTTATGAGTTTCTTTGAGGCCAAAATCCCCTAAAATAATCTTTTGGTTTTCAGTGCGTACTGTGTACTGTGGCAATGAATTCTGATACTTCTGGTCTCCAAAAACGTTCAAGTTTCTGTTTCTTTAAACCTACCAATGATCTCACTGTATGCCTCTGAAGTGTGTTTCTGTACTAAATAGTGTTCATTCTCTGCTTGCTTCCTATACATTATATGCATTTCTACATACTGGCATCATCTCCACTCTAAAAAAAATCCCACACTGAAGAGTCCTGGCTTACTTAATCTCGCCCTGTGGAGCCTCTTCTGTACTTCAGCTGTCACTGAAGTTGTTGTCACTAAGTTCTTGGAGTTATTTGTCTTGAAGTAGCGGCTCTGACAGCTGATACTACAGATCGTACGATTTCTGGAAGGTAGTTAAGCAAAAGAAGGTGTATGTTGAATATTTAAAGTTAGCATGCGGGCTGTGTGTTATGTTCCTTTTATCCCCTTGCTGCGTTGTAGTGTGCTGGAAGGCCCAGTAGAGGGCTGCCCATGCTTTACGAATGAGGATCATAGCTCTGCATTTGTTTTCCTTCACCGCTGTTAGGTTGGTCGTCTAGAAAATGCAATTGGCTGGTACCACAGTCACCCTGGCTACGGCTGTTGGCTCTCTGGGATCGATGTCAGTACTCAGATGCTTAATCAGCAATTTCAAGAACCCTTTGTAGCAGTGGTGGTAAGTTCTGTCTGATAGCTCTTAAACTGCATAGCAAATTATGTTGAGAGGGGAGTCACTTCTAGATTTTTGTCCATTAGCAGTCTAGTAGTGTGTAGTTTGCAGGATGGAAGTGTTAGATCTAAATCTTAAATTGTTATTACTGCTTTTGCGTTGCTGGCCACATGCTGGTCAAACTGGTAATCTTGTTCATTGAGGCCATTTTTGCTTCATTGCTCCAGAGGATGTAGTGCTGTACAAATCTATATGCTGCTCTTAGTTTGAAGTTGGTACTTCTGCAAAAAAATGCTTTAGCAATCCATATTTAACCTCTTGCAATGTAAGAAAAATTTGTTCTCTGTGTTGCTTGTTCTGAAAAGTGAATAGATTATGTTCACACAGTTCTGTTGCTTTGAATCTAAAATGCCTTTTAGCTGAAATAAGTGGCATGGTCAAAAGTAGAAAGTGTGGGAAGTCTTTGAAGAAAAAATCTGAAGAAACTGGGCCCCTTCAGGCTGCAGATCACATTTTAAATCAAAATAAAACTTACTTTAAGTACAACTTGTGCAACTATTGCTGCTGAAAGAAATAAAGGATAAAAGACTGAAATTAGTCAGAAAGAAGGGATATAGGTAATGCTAGAATTCCATTAGACAAGGGTAAATCACCCTAAGAAGAAGTATTTCTACCACATGAGTTTCCCCATGTTATGACAATTTTAGGGATTCAGAACATTTCCTTTGGGACTTCTTTCTGTTTTCATTTAATCCTTTTTCTTTTTTTTTCTTTTGAAATGAGGCAGAACATCACTAAGTTTGTTCTCAAGGAGATTCCTTTGCAATTCTTCTGTCTCTTCCACCAAAGTACAGCAGATCACAAGATCTTTCTTAGCTCTAGTAAGATTGTGATGTGTTGTAAGATTAAAATGTGGATTTTTATTCTGGCTTGTTGCTTGCTCTAAGTGCAATTTCTTTTCAAGTATTTGGGAAAATGGTGAAATGGGTTTGAAAAATGGTCCTTAAAAAGCCCATGGATATCAACTGAAAAAATAGTGCTTATGACTAAACAAATAGAATTTGCACTAATTATGTTTCTGAAATATAATTGCTATTAATTCTAATAATTCATTAAATGTTACATAAGAAGCATTACATTATTTTTTACAGATTGATCCAACAAGAACAATATCTGCAGGAAAAGTAAATCTTGGTGCATTTAGGACATATCCTAAGGTAAATACTTAAAATTACTTGCAGTGTGATCAATAACCTCTCTTTAATTGATTGGTTCTAAAGATTAGTGCAGTTTGATCATCTGACAGATAAATCTGGTGCACTGTATCACTGTGCATTCATAATGACTTGATTCTATACTGGTTATTGTGTGAATATTGACAATGTTTAGAAAAGTTGAGTTCTAATATGTTTTTCAATAGATTTTTGTCAGTCTTAAATCAAATAGACTCTCTAGATAAAGGAGCTTTCCTGTCATTCATTAATGTATTAATGTTAATTTTTTTCTATTATTTCTTTAGACCTAACATACCTGTGAAATTTGATCTCATACGTTGTAATCTGCTTCTCATTTTAGAAAAAACATTTGAAACTTTCTGTGGTTACCTCTTTTAGATAAACACTATGAACCTATTAAAAAAAAAACAAACAAACCACCACACAAAAGAGGTGAATTAGCATGGAAAGGTTAGGCTAAAAACTACGAAATCACCAAAATATTGAAGATCTGGATCTCCACATGCAGTCTTACGGTTAGATTTCTGACACATGTAATTGTTATTTTATTTCAATCTAATAAAGCTAAAGTATAATTGGAAGTTTAATTTCCAGTTATCGTTGACATGTCAAGAACATTCATCTGTCATTCAGTAAACCTGTAATAACTGTAATTGGCAAGAATGTTTATGAGACATTCCAGTTTGCATTCAACATTATTTTAGAGTTGAAAAATATACAGCAGCTTGACTTTGCACAATTTGTGTTTCAGAAGAATATTCACCTCTGTTGGCAAAACTACTTCATGAATGCCATATTTTGAGCAGAGAGTAGAATCCTGCACCTGGGAACCTCTGTAGAAAATGCACATGAGATGGGTATTTTTAGGGAGTCCTTGAATTGTTTTGCAAGCCAGTCAGTAGCTGTGAGGGTCAGCAGCTTAGCTAAATAGGTAACTGAAGTTTTATCTATCTGTAGGGCATATGCAGGGCAAGTATGTTTCCTCCCACTTCTCTTACCTTCTGTCTTCCCTCCAAAAAGGACCAAAATCACTTCCCAGAACAGGAAAACAAGTCTTGCATTAGAAGCTGTTTACTACTTTGATCAAAAGAAGAAGAAAAAGATCAAATCATAACTTGCCACCCTGTTCACTTCCAACGGTTTTTGACAGACCTGCAAACATAACAACTTTTAGTAAAGCGAAATGTAGACCTGAGATGTAAGAAAATTCCAAATTTCAGGCTAGTGGGGGAAATGTCATCTTCCTTAGGGAAGTGTCTTTCTTTGCATAAATCAGAATTTTTGTGACGTGCTTTTCAAGAGCTTAGTCCTTCTTTAGAAGTCCCAGATGTACTGTGTCATGTTTGCCCTTTCTTTGTTTAATTGTAGGGGTACAAACCTCCGGATGAAGGTCCCTCTGAATACCAAACTATTCCACTTAATAAAATAGAAGACTTTGGTGTTCATTGTAAACAGTAAGTAACATAAAAATGACCAACTGCAGCACGAATTCTCAGTTTTTGTATTTAGCCTAGTGATTCACCAAAAACTGCATTTCTTGGTATGTTTCAAATTGTGACATTATTTGCTGCATTAACCACTGTTGATTTTGTGGAAAAGTGTATCATTTATCAGAAGATCTTCTACAGGGGAACTGTTTTAAAGATGAAGTTTCTTTTAACCTAGTTGAAAGAGCTAGCAGATGGTTTACTTATAAGGAATGGTGCTTTCTTAGGGCAAGGAGCACAGAGTCAGATGTAGATTTAGCAGCAGGGCTGCTCTTCTGAGTAACAGCAACTGTAGTGCATACCTTTATCCTGTGTCACTGTTAACGTGGCTGCAGGTTTTCAATCATATTGAGTTGTTTCTCTCTGTGGTGAAGTGGAGCTGTTTCAAGGGATAACATCAGTAACAGGAAGAATTACTGCTTTTTCTCTCCCACTAGTATAGTTTCCATGAATTTTAAAGGCAGTTTAAAGATAGTTCTCCTATCTCCCAGTCAAGTGTTCCTTGCTTCATACATACATGTACTTACTTGGAAAAGCATTTGTTTTGCCAACTCAGTCCCCTGATCAGATCCAATTTGTTCTTGCTGGTTAAGCTAAGGTGGAGTGGAAGGTAGAGGCAGATGGTGGAGATGCAGTATTGGGTTGGAAGGAGTGTTAAAGACCACCCAGTTCCAACACCCTGCAGAATTGCCACCCATTAGATCAGGCTGCTCAGGGCCCCATCCAGCCTGGCCTTGAATGCATCGAGGGATCAGCGAGAGAAAGATGGGATTGCTTCTTCCATTCTGGTTTCGATTCCATCTTTAAATGTTTGACAAGCCCTACAGTTTAAGGAACTGTGCACAGAAAGCTTCTGAGATCTCATTGATGCCATGTAGGCTCATGGATATGGTGTAGGCCATTGCCTCTTTTTTTCCATGGTTTTGGTGCATGGATATCTATTCTCAGTGCATTTATAGCTGCATGCAGAGTCAGAGCCTCGAGGGATGAAGAAATTAATACAACTGAGAATTGATTTTCCTGTACAAATTGAGAAAAATCCAGAACAATAACTACACAGAAATCTTTGTAGAACTGTAATGATTCTGTTGTTGCAGAATAGTCCTTGTATGGGCACTGCCCATAAACCAACGTATTTATGTGTGAGAGGAAGCTGTGTTTTATTGTTCTGTATTTGAAGTGGTCAGTTTGGGAGAATTCATTTGCTTATTTGGGGGGTTTTGTTGTGGAGTTTACTGTTGTTTTTTGGGGTTTTTTTGTGTGTTTTTTTTTTTTTTTTAAGTTGGCAGTGCTAACATTTACCATCATAATCTCCATCTCAGGAAGCTGGCTTATTTTGCAGGCTACTTCTTTTCATCCAAAGTAAATATTTTCCAGTCTTCCCTAGAAAGAAACAGCAGTCACAGAAAAAGATGGAATTAAAACTGGAATTTTGGCACATTATTGAACTACTGATTACAACAGATCAGAGTGATGCTTCCTCTCAATAGTATGGGTAGTTGCACTACAGATTTAAAATGTAGCCAACTTGAATGATGATACTCACTGTTTGGTAGTCTAGTCACTACTAATTGTTTCACAGTAACAGTAACTTTCCATAGAAATTAAGCGCTAATAGTGCTGAAGAATTTACTGATCAAAATAAAACGTAGCATAACTTTAATGTTGCTGTAATTCATCTACACATAGCTCAGGTTTCTGTCTACTTTGTCATCTCTTATTAATTGCATAGTACCAGTGAAGTTTGACTTTAAAAACAAGTATGGTATAACAAAATTATTTGTCCATTAGTAACATTTACTGCTATCAAATGTTCCTAATTGAATTTGATGCAAGATATGCAAAATTAGTGATTTATTATTAAAAAATTACAATATTGAAGAGGCATAGACAGCAAGGTTGGAAGAGACCTCCAAGATCATCTAGTCCAACCATCCACCTATCACCAGTAGTTCCCACTAAACAATGTCCCTCAGTACAACATCCTCACATTTTTATTGAACACCTCCAAGGTCAGTGGATCCACCACCTCCCTCGACAGCTCGATCCAGTGATCTGGCCACTTTCTCAGAGAAGAAATATTTCTTGATGTCCAACATGAATCTCCCCTGGCACTACTTGAGGCCATTCCCTTTAGTCCTATCACTACTTACATGGGAGAAGAGGCCTACCCCCACCTCACCTCAGTTTCCCTTCAGGTAGTTGTAGAGAATGATAAGGTCTCCCTTGAGCCATGTTGTCTCCAGACTAAACAATCCCAGTTCCTCCAGCCACTCCTCCTAAGGCTTGTGCTGCAGACCCCTTACCAGTTTTGTTGCCTCTCTCTGGACACGTTCCAGGGCCTCAGTGTCTTTCTTGTAGTGTTGAGTACAGAGGGATGATCTCTTCCCTGCTTCTGCTGGCAACACTATTTCTGGTACAACCTAGGATGCCATTGGCCTTCTTGGCCACCTGGGCACACTGCTGGCTCATGTTCAGCTAAGCATTGACCAATACCCCCAGGTCCATTTGCTCTACAAAGTCTTCCAGCCATTCCGCCCAAGCCTGTAGCATTGCTTGGGGTTGTTGTGGCCAAAGTGCAGGACCCAGCATTTGGTCTTACTGAACCTCATCCCATTGGCTTCAGCCTAGCTATCCAGCATGTCCAGATCCCTCTGTAGGGCCCAGGCAGATCGACACTTCCAGCCAGCTTTGTTATCTGCGGACTTACTGAGGGTGCTCAGTGTTCTTATCCAGGTCATCGGTAAAGACACTGAAGAGGACAGGCCCCAGTACTGACCCCTGGGTAACAGCACTCATGACTGCTCGCCAGCTGGATTTAGCTCCATTCACCGCCACTCTCTGGGCCTGGCCTTCCAGACAGTTCTTTACCCAGCAGAGTGTATCTAAGCCATGGGCTGCCACCTTCTACAGGAGGATACTGTAGGAAACAGTGTAGAAGGCTTTGCTGAAGTCTGGCTAGACTACATCAGCAGCATTTCCTCAACCAAAAGGCAGATCACTCAATCATAGGAGATGAGGTTGGTCAAGTTGGACCCACACTTCATGAACCCATGCAGGCTAGGTCTGATCCCCCATGATGTATGATCTCCCTCACGATCATCTGCTCCATAACCTTTCCCAGTATGGATGTCAGGCCTGTAGTTCCCTGGATCCTCCTTATTGTACAGTGCCTCATTGCATTGCTTTTACAAAATTAACAAAAACACTTGCAGTCTCTTAAATAAAACAGCAGTGTGTATAGGGGTTGTGTAACCCTATATTAAGGCTATATATGAAATAATTACAAAACATCTTGTAGAGTTAGAGTTGGAAGTGGGAGTAACTTTTTTATTGTTCAATACCTTGAATTTCTGAAGGCACTTGTCACTAGTAAGGACTTTTTCAGATGGATATCATTTGGGTGTTAGAGCCAAACAAGATGTATTTATATGGAATTTTATTGTGTGCACGTTTGTTTTTAAAGGTATTATGCATTAGAAGTATCTTACTTTAAATCATCTTTGGATCGTAAATTGCTTGAGCTTTTGTGGAACAAGTACTGGGTGAACACTCTCAGCTCTTCTAGTTTGCTTACTGTAAGTACCATAATATGCTATTATGTGCATATGTCTGTCTTAAACATCTTTTACCTATGTATCCCTTTACAGCCCTGCAATCAATAGGATGTCTTAAGGTAATGCATTGAATAAGTAACCATTTCTACTGCTGTTTTTATCTGTAAATACCTAACAGGTGGAACTGTTAAAATGAGGTTGCAAGATATACGGAAAGTAGGCCTTCAGGGGGACAGCAGCAACAGCATCAAAAGCTTCCTTCTGCAGAAGCCAGTTTGAAATCTTCTCCCTTAGCCAGAATGAGAAGTTTTACTTGCACTTTCTTGGTTTCATTACTTAGGAGTGGCTGGAAAATTATAAGAATACCATTTCAGTTTTTAAGTAAGTTTGAGTGCTTCTCAGATGCAGAGATACTGTTTTGTCAGCCACCACTCACGTAGCAGTTGTGTTCTGTGGTACATAAATTGCAGATAGAGGTTAAAATGTGCAGTACTACAGACTCTTTTAGATGTTGTTCTTTTATTTTTCTGTATAAATGTTTGAGTTTATAGCTTAGAACTCAGAAAGGTAATTACTTGCTTTCTCCTAAGAATGCTGACTACACCACTGGCCAAGTCTTTGATTTGTCTGAAAAACTAGAGCAGTCAGAAGCTCAGCTTGGACGGGGCAGTTTTATGCTGGGTTTAGAGACTCACGATAAGAAATCAGAGGACAAACTTGCTAAAGCAACAAGAGACAGGTAAGACAATGCATGGATGTGTTCTTCCCTGAAAAAAGTGTTAAACTTAATTATCGAGTCCTTTGTAGTAACCAACCAATAAAATCATATCCTGGAAAGCTATGGATAGGAATGAGAGGCTCCAGATATGACCAGTTATTTTTGAAAGTTTAAGAAACACTTGTGTAATACTTTCATTTAAAAATTAAGAACTCCTGAGGTTGGGATAAGGTGGAGAAGGGTGAGCACCTTCAAGCACTGATAAAAGGTGGTAGCCCTCTTCCCCCAGGATTTTGAGGGATTTTTTTGTTGTTGATCAGAAGACCACAGAGCTCATTTTCTGTTGTTAACATAAGATGCCCTAAATTGCTAAACAAGTTCCTGGAACTGGTCTTTGTGTGTCTAGATCCCATCAGTTTGCATTCAGAGCTATTGGCAACAATGGCTGAACTGGGGTGTGTGACTTTTCCTCCCTGGACAGTTGTGGAGATTGATGGGGTTATGGGCACCCTGAACTTCCAAAACAGCTGAATATCTTTAAATAAAATGACAGTTCAGTTCGGTCTTTAGCCAACGTTGAATTTATGCTTGTTTTTCAGCTGCAAGACCACCATAGAAGCTATACATGGATTGATGTCTCAGGTTATTAAGGATAAACTTTTTAATCAAATTAATATAGCTTGAAGTGCATCGCTAGCTGATACGAATCTCCAAAGCAGAAAAAGTTATGGTTTCTTTCACTTGGACTTGTTCAACTTGGGAAAAGGATCTGAAGTGGAAAATTATTCATTTAAATTGTAGTACTTTAATATTTCCCACCTGTCCGACCGGATTTAAAGAATAAAACATTCTGAAATGTAGTGTAACTTTTTGTTCTTCTCCATAAAACACAACCAGTTTTGAGAACTGCTCCAAAAGGAAAATAAATGTCCCTCACTGGATTTTGGTCCGAAGTATTTATCTCAAGTATCTAATTGTAATAAAACAGTTTTAAAAATGAACAAATGTTTTGGGGGTTGAACTTTTTGGCAAACATTTATCACCTGTTTTTCTTGCTGTTCCAAAGAAGTGTTGTGTCCACTTAGACTGGATAGGTGATCTATGCAATATAAGAAGTTGGGATCTTAGATTTTGTTTCTGTGTTTAACATTTTAATGCCATTTGTTTATCGTTTAACAAGTCATTAAATGTAATGGCACTATTACTGGTTTAGTTTTATTGCTCCTGCCAGAAGTGGTTTCTTCTATGATTCTATGATTCTCACTCCGATGGCAATATTCTGCTCCTAGCTTCACAGTTAAGATGAACCTTTTTCATTTCTAGGTAGCCAAGTTACAGACAGTGAAACTGTGAAACTACCATGAGGCTCACACAGTGTGACTTTTCTCCTGCTTGTCTTCTATTGCTTGACATGGTCACTTGTTGGCTGCAAAGGAACCTAATGAAAAAAACCCAGTATCTCTGAAATATGAGTTAGCCTCGTTTAGGGCCACAGATACTGAAATGCATTAATCATCGTTGTTGCCTTATAACATGGTGCTGCTGCACAGCTGATGTAAGTTTGTTTTGGAGGCTTTCATACTGCATTTCAATAAGTCAAGATGTTTGGATTTCTTTTAAGTTTTTATCCTTAATCCTGAGTTTCCTGGGTTTTTTGGAATGTTTACTTTTGGGATAATTTATAACATGCTTTGTACAATATGCCATTATGCTTTATACCTTAAGTAACTAATATTCCTTTTCAACCTTAACTGTGCCTTGATGTGGGTTTTGTTTTTGTTTTGGTCTGGAAATTGTAATAGCTATTACTCATTTGGGACTTTTCATTCCAACGGATTCCAGTGTGTTTGAAGCTAAGATGCAATTACACAATGGGAACATCATTCAGCAAGGAAACACAGATACCCTGAAGCAGAAATTCATCAAGAGTTTTAAAGCAGCAGCATCCAGCAGTTCAGGAAGAATGCTTTAAATTGGAGCTAGTCAGGATTAGATGGGAGGACAATTTTGTTTCTTCCAGCATGGCAGTGGTGGTGGGAGGGAGGAGAAAAATGTGTTATTTCAGTATTTGGAGCTGTTCATTTTCCTGAAAATGGCAAGAGCATGCATGGAACAAAAGCAAATGAAACTGCTAACCTTATGTTCCCCTGTATTCAGCACTGGTGAGGCCGCACCTCGAGTACTATGTCCAGTTTTGGGCCCCTCACTGCAAGAAAGATATTGAGGCCCTGGAACGTGTTCAAAGGAGGGCAACAAAGCTGGTGAGGGGTCTGGAACACAGGCCATATGAGGAGAGGCTGAAGGAGCTGGGAATGTTCAGCCTGGAGAAGAGGAGGCTCAGGGGAGACCTCATTGCTCTCTATAACTTCCTGAAGGGAGGCTGTAGTGAGCTGGGGGTCGGCCTCTTCTCTCGTGTCATTAGTGATAGGACCAGAGGGAATGGCTTCAAGCTACGGCAGGGGAGATTCAGGCTGGACATGAGGAAGTATTACTTTTCAGAAAGGGTGGTCAGGCACTGGAACGGACTGCCCAGGGAGGTGGTGGAGTCACCGAGCCTGGGGGTGTTCAAGGAAAGGCTGGATGTTGTGTTGAGGGACATGGTTTAGTAGGAGCTATTGGGAATAGGTGAACGGTTGGACTGGGTGATCTTTTAGGTCTTTTCCAACCTTGGTGATTCTTTGATTCTATGATTCTATGTTCTTTTGTTTTTGAGCAACATGAGAGTTATTAATAGTTGTTTGCCTCACATTCACATCAGGTTGGAAGAACTTGGTATTGATACTGCAGTAACATGCAGCTCACACTAGGGATAACACCTCTGTTCAGTGTCAGCCTGTGTTCTAGGAAACTCCCCTCACTCCAGTGTCTCTTCTGTTTTTACAAGGGATGCTCATTTTCTTGGCCTTCAGAAGTAGTTTGCATGCACCATTTCAGACCAAAGAGAATAGAATGGCCTGGGTTGAAAAGGACCACAATGATTATTGACCCCCCTACTATGTGCAGGGTCACCAACCACCAGACCAGGCTGCCCTGGCCTTGAATGCCTCCAGGGATGGGGCATCCACAGCCTCCTTGGGCAGCCTGTTCCAGTGCGTCACCACCCTCTGTGTGAAAAACTTCCTCCTGATTGAACTTCCTATTTAATAGACAAGGCATAGTCCTGCATCTCTATCACTTGTGTCTTGGCAAAACGTTGACTGTTTGTTTTCAGACATTCTGTTTTCACATCACCCTTGTCCTAAATGTACTAAATATGATTAGGCATTAGTAAACCTGTTTGTTTTCTGCCCTTTGGTAAATGTTTGTGATAGGGTGAGGTTTCTGGGGGGATCAGAGCTTCAAAATAACCTTGGTTTGTTACCTTCTTTTTGCTAACTGTATTATTTACTTTCTCTTACTGCTCTGCTCCAAATATTCCAAGTCAGAATTGGACTTTCATTGTGCTACTCATATAGTATGTTAATATACAGTATTTGAAGTACTAACTCAAAGCCTTAGATAGGAGATTTTTTTAATATCACGCAGTAAATTAGTGTACGATAAAATAATAAAAGCAAATACCAGACCAAATCCAAAACCAGCCAGAATTTTCATACCAGCATTAGAGTTTGAGTTATCATTGTTTTAAGGGTGCGGGTGCTTTAGAGGTGAAAATGACTGAAATTTGGGGTGATAATAGGTAAGATTAATTGCTTGCACGTAAATTTTTTTCGGGTGGTGTCAAGTCTTGAAGAACAGTCATCAGAGAACTCCAGTTAGTTGGAGAATTTTTCCAGAGTTAAAAAACAATTATCCTGAACCTTTAAGGAATTAATGAAGCAAATTGTTCCTCAGGGTATATTTTTCTAACGAGCTGTAGGAATAATATCTGTGAGGAAATATGTAACTCGGGAACGTTAATTCTGACCTTTAGATGAAACTTCTAACATAGGAAATATTTGCTGTGACGTTTGGTTTGTTTTTAATTAAGAAAAATTGCTTCGTAGAGGGCTTTCTGAAGACGACAATGTTCTGGAAGTAGCACGGTCCACTGGATAGGTTACAGGACTCCATCTCAGGAGAATTGGATTTTCTTCCTGTTCACAAACCAGGAGTGTGTAAACTTGAGCAAAGCATTTTTGCCAGAGCAAGTGTCGTTTGTTCTCTCTGAAATAGTGAGATTGATCATTAGCCTTCAAAAAATACAGATTAAAAAAGATAACTGAGCATTATCATCTTATAAACCAAAGGTCATCGCTGCATCTTCAATTTGTCAGACATTGGCAACCTCAACCAGCAATTCTCAGTAATACTGTTGGCAAAGATTGTTTATTCTTTTGTGTTGTTTATCTCTTATGCCATCTCAGATAGGAAGTGCTTCAGCCCTTTGAGAGGATTATAAATATATTGTTTTTGGGACTCTTAATTTCCAACTGAAACATGCAGTCAGCTCCTATGTAATTTGTCCATCATTTCCTGTGTGAATTTTGCTGTTTGTTTTAGACACAGTTACCTTAGGGCTTGTGTATAACTGCAGTGGCATTACTTTATTAAAAACGGAAATTAATTTATGTGCCTGCATCTAATGGCAAGCAATCTTTAGTAATTACAACCATCTGAACTTTTCTCTCCAGCTGAAGATAAGTTGCACTCACCCTATCACTTGAGGTTAGAATTAAGCCTGTGCTTTTAATCTGTCTCTAAGGAAGACATTTTTAGTCCGAGTTCCACAAAGCTGGAGATACAACTGAAGAAGCGTAGAACAACAAAAATCACAGATAATCTTCCAACTTCAGTAAGGTTTAGGTATTTTGTGTGGTTTATCAATTCAAAATTGGCTTCTCATTAAACCTGTGATTTCTGTGGAATGTTTACCTTTCCTTTAAAAAAGATCTTACAACAACTAGGTACAATTCTGCAGTGATTAAGATGGTTTAACAAAGACTTGTGTAAAAGCCAGGGACGAGCAAAGGGTAAATAAAACTTAAATCTATTTAAGAACATGGAGTGACTGCATGAATACTCACATTCGCTCTGCACACAGTGTTTGACAAAATAATGCTGAGACCAATACACCTTCTGAATGCTGAGTATTAGCAGCATGTAACTTCTACATTCTGGTTTGTGTATCTAACTTCACAACACTGTATGGAAAGCTGTTGTCTTCTACAGCTCTGTCTGGTGATAAGTGGCAGCATGATTAATGGCTATTCTCTCCATGGTGAAATCTGTAAAACTATGTTCTGAGTTTTTACTTTCACTCATCTTTGGAGACTGAATCAACATTGTTGTCTCTTTTGGAGGTAAAATGCAGTGTTACTGAAGACCTATTATAAACACCACAAGGATATTTACAGCAAGCATATAGTTTTCTAATAGCTTCACTTTTACTTTCAGGCTGCAATAGATTTTAATGCTGGGAAGTGCACAGAGGATATTTCACTTCTTGTCTCCCCATACAGATACTACATAGATGGATTCTTCTTGAGTCACATGGGGAAAATATTTTTAAATCTGTGCTCAGTCTTACAGGCAAGAACTTTGTAGGTCAAGGTCAAAAAAGCCTTCAACTGCCAATAATGGTGGTAATAGTTTTGTAGTAATAATAGACCTTAAAGTTGTGTAGTAATAATTATCTATATTGGTCTTGTGGCTTTGTCTGGTGTTGTACCTGTTTTAATTGCAGAAATCATTTTGGAAACTTCAGCAAGGCTGTTACCTATTTCATTTAGTTACTTCAGGGATTTCCTGTCAGAGCTTAGGTTTTGCTTAGGCTCACACAGTTCTACTGACATCAGCAGTCAATATCAGCAAAAGTATTAATCAAATTGCAAACAGAAATTATACAGAAAAAGGAATAATGCCAAGCAGTGAAAATTAT